GAAAGGGAACGAAAAGACAGAGACAGAGAGAGTGCGAATTCCTCCCCAAACCGTTTTCCCGCCAAGCCCAAGTATGGCGGACGGAGGAGGCAGCCGCCCTCTCGCCTCCTGAGCATAAATGGATTATTTTCTCCACCAGGAAGCGCGAGCCAGCAGACACCAGGTCTTTAATCCTCCCCACCGCGCCCCTCTCCCCCACTCCATCTCCCCCAATTCTCCTGCATCAAACCCCAACACTAACTTTGGGGCAGCGTTTTATCATAATCAGTGTCATTATTATTATTGTTATTATCATTATCATCATTTATTATTATAATTACCATTATTATTATCATTAAATTATTGTCATCATAATTATTCATCCATTATCATTTTATTTTCATTTACTATTATTTGCTCGTTATTATTATTAATATTATTATTATTATTATTATTTTATTATTATATTATTATTTTATTATTATTATTATTAATCATTATCATTATATCTATGTTCTTAGATCATTATCATTATTACCATCATTATTTTCATGATGATGATGATCATCAATATTATTATCACTCAAATCGCACACACACATATCTCTTGTGTCTGCACCTGTACCTATCTGTTTACACCCGCATACATACATATATACATACATACAAACACACATCTCCATACATAACACGTGTATGGGGAACACATACATCTGTGTTGTGTGTGTGTGTGATGCTATATATATATATATATATATATATATATATATATATATATATATATATATTATGAGAGAGAGGATGAGAGAGAGAGAGGAGAGAGAGAGAGAGAGAGAGAGAGAGAGAGAGAGAGAGAGAGAGAGAGAGAGAGAAGAGAGAAGAGAGAGAGAGAAAGAGAGAAAGAGAGAGAGAGAGAGAGAGAGAGAGAGAGAGAGAGAGAGAGAGAGAGAGAGAGAGAGAAGAGAGAGAGAGAGAGAGAGAGAGAAGAGAGAGAGAGGAGAGAGAGAGAGAGAGAGAGGTAGACTAACACCGCCGTAAATAGTTTCATGTTAATTGTCAATCAAACGTTTCGAAAATCAATCATATTTTCCTCACCCTTATCTGCTTAGCCAATGTTAATTAATTGGTTTTCTAAATTAAAGATAGTGCGTAATGAACGTCATACTAATGCAATGACATTGGTAAAATCACAATAATAATTATGCTAATGACACAATACAAAACATAAATCAAAGATGTAAATGACAGAACAAAACTAAACTGAAAAGACAAGATAGACACATAAAAACACACACACATACACAAATAACATATATACAGTAAAATAGGATTAATATGTAAAAATTAATTAATCTGGGTGAAAGTCAGGGGTAGAAGTGTCTAGCTAGTAAACAAAGTGGTGCGGTGGTTGCGGTAACTGTGTTATTGAGTTCGGGTTTCATCTTTCGGATCAGCAATGTCTCCGATACGATGAGGTCTTGGCGAGAGGAGATGGAGGCTAAAATATTGAAATCTCTGTTGGAGAACGGATGTGAGTGTTTGTGAGAGTGTTCTCTTATGGCCGAGAACGATGGTCTGCTCAGCGGGAGTTCAGCACGAAATGTTCTAATATGGGGTGGCGTAACCATCGTGAGGTTGACCCCACGTGCCTAACTTGGCAGTCAGGACAGGTAAATGAATATACTATATTAGAACATAAGTTAGCGTAACATTGCGTAGGCTGTTTTAAGAAATTTGCAAAAGTGTTAGAGTTGCTAAAGACAGATGTGCATTTTATTTGAGGGTGATTGTTTTGTAGATTGTTTTCTGATTTCAAAGCTTAATTTCCCCATAAATGGCAGTATTATATATATGTGATCCCTTTTTACAATAGATACAGTAGGCTGAATTGAGATTTTTTTTTTTTTTTTTTTTTTTTTTTTTTTTTACATAGAAAGCTCTTTGTAATTTTATCAAATAAATGCAATGGGTATCCATTTCTTACAAATAAATCTTTTAGGAAATTCATTTCGTCATGGAAAGACGACCAATTACCACACTGGTTATAAGCTCTAGTGATGAGTGTTTTTATGCTGTTAATTTTGTTAATGTATGGGATATCTCTAAGAAAGTAAAGACCGAGGAAAGTACAGGTTGGTTTACGGTAAGTACTTGAGTAGAAACATCCATTATCGTTAATTACATACATATCTAGAAAGGGTATTTGGGTGTTCTGTTGCGTTCCGCAGGTGAATTTAATGCTCAGGTGTTTAGAGTTGAGCTAATTCAGAAATAGATTTGCGTGCGAAGGGTGTTTGAAGATAACGAAAGTATCGATATATCGTCGGTAGTACATAGGTCTGAATTCTGGTGGACATTGAATTGACTAATTATGCTCATGGTAACAAACCCATTACTGTTTGGGTATAATCATTATCATACGAGAATACAGAATGATGAGCTGCAAAATAGAGTAACTTATTGAGGCTATCTTTAGTTAAATCGGATTAATTGAGATGGGTGGAGTTTACGTTGTTAACTACAATTTCCGTTGTTTCCAGAAGTGGCACATTCGTAAACAATAATTCCACGTCGAAACTCGCCATGGTTTTGGGTTGATGGAGGTTAAGTGAAGTGATTTCATTTGCAAAACCTGTGGAATGTTCAATGGTGTTCTGATTTCTAGTTAACGGCGAAATAATTGGGACCAGGAACTTAGCAGCGTTGTAGTTATAATTGCCAATCGAGGAAAAGATGAGTCTTAAAGGGATGATTGGTTTGTGTACTTTGGGGAGACTAGTAATATTCCGGGTTTGGAACCAGAAGTTGACAGGAAATTATAGGTGCTTACAGCAATGGATGATTTAAAGGTCCGGAGTAGTCCTTTTAACTTGTCTTCAAGGTATAACAAGTGAGTGGACATTTCGGTAGTGATTCTTTTGAATTTAGTATGGTCACTAAGAATATTAATTATTTTTTTTATGATAATCACATTTGTTTCAAATGACAACTCCCCGACCCTTGTCTGGTTTGGTAATTATTATGGACTCGTCATTCTTAAGTGACTCTAGAGGTGACGTGAAACTTTCTGCATCACTCGTTTGTTTAGCCAGACGAGAGAATTTCTTGAAGGTGTTGTTGGCTATAGTTGATATATTATTGGTGCCATTATTAAAGGAGTTATTATAAATATCATTGTTCTTTAAATCGTTACCAAGCTTTTCAAAATAGAAGTAAAATTTGTGGAAAGAAGCCTTGGAAGCATACAGTAATCCAGGTTATGAGAGAAAATATCTGTTCTTCAGTTAAGATTTGTGTGCGTGTGTATGTTTCTCCCTTGAACCCTGTTAAGATATATTTTCTCCCTTGTTCCCGCTGATACAAAATTTCCTAGATAAGCAAATTTTATTGTCATCTCTCTGATCCCGTCTCTTCATTGAAAATAACAAAGTTACCCTTAGTTCACGTTTTCTTTCTTTCCTAGACCTCTACATGCATTTACGGGGTAACTATAAACAAAGTGAGATTCCCAGTTAGAATATGCATATGTTCATGTATTTAGTATTTTTGGAATATTATCGTCACTGTACCGCCTTCATATTCAAATTGGTGAGAATGTTCTTTTATGGATAGTGTTTGTTGATATATGTAGTGGGAATGCATTGCACAATAGCCATTTAATGAGGGGGGGGAGGTCCATCATGTTTATTATCACCTCAGCTTATCTGAAAAATTCATCGATAAGACAAATTTATCAGTGATACTGGATGATTAATGCTGATCTTAGTAGAGTAAATCACAAAGGACCGCCAAATGCTTATATCTATCTATCTATCAATCAATCTATCTATCTCTATCTCTCTCTCTATCTATCTATGTGTGTGTGTGTATTGACATACATGAAACTATATATACACAAATGTACACACAACACACACACACACACACACACACACACACACACACACACACACACACACACACACACACACACACACACATATATATATATATATATATATTTATTTATTTTTATATATATATATATATATGCCCATTCCTTAGATGGATTACATCAGTGATTTGGAGAGAGCTACAAGGGCAAAAGCTTGTCTTCCATATTGCCCTTCCCCAGACCTGCGCCTAGGAGTGGGTAGTGTAGCTCCGCTGCAAAGGGACGACACAACATGATGTAAAGCAACTGTGTAGGCCTAAAATATGTGTGTATGTGTGTGCGAGTGCATCAATGTGCATATGTACATATACTGTTTGCACACAGATTTATAAGACTATTATATTGGTTATAAATGAAATGAATAATGATAACAATGGCATATATATATTAATCAACAAGCATATGGTAAAGAAATCACAACAGTTTAATTTGTATTGAAATAAGTTGTACTTTTGTAAACCCTTATGTGTTCACTGGTATATGTTTATGTGTGTATATATATGTATATATATATATATGTATGTATATATATATATATATTTATGTATACACACACATTCATACAGACATACATATATGTATATATATGTGTATATTTACTTGTATACATAAATGTCTATATAAATACATATATATTTACACTCACACATACCTATACTGTATGTGTTTGTGTGTATGTCCGCGTGCGCTCGCGTGTGCATATTTATGTTTGGTTCAGTCATGGCTTTAGACCATTCATTCACTATGGTCCTTAATGTAAACAACTGCCGTATCGGATGTGTCCGACTGTGTGCATGGGCGTGGGATATTTCATTGTGTAAATAATATTGTTTGTGTATCAGGTTTTAGATACAGTGACAAAGCAAAGTCAGAACAAGATCGACATCTGTTTTATATATCTTAGACAAACGGTACAATTAGAATAAATAATAGACAACAACATGCGAAAAAATAACATTAACAATAACAATAAAATGAAGACTCGACTAGATCGCGGTGTTGCAGGTCTCGTCCGGATGCGGTGATCTGACTAGAGATTCGACGTCGAAGCCTCTCGATAAAAAGACTTTCCTACACCTTTTCTCGGCCTCTTCAGCCTGTTCAAGGTTCCTGGCATAGACGTAAGCCCATTCTACCTTGGCACTCTCTGTGGCTTGCTGACATTGGTACACGCAAGCAAGGCTGTCGTAGTCGGTATCAAGAACAACGAACGTGCCCGTTTCCAGACCCTGTTCGAAAGTGAGACAAACGAAAAATGAATAAAAATGGAGAGAGAGAGAGAGAGAGAGAGAGAGAGAGAGAGAGAGAGAGAGAGAGAGAGAGAGAGAGAGAGAGAGAGAGAGAGAGAGAGAGAGAGAGAGAGAGAGAGAGGAGAGAAACAAAGCAGACAGACGAAGAATGAGCATATATAAACACACTTACACATTATTACACAGAATAATAAACCAAAAATACAGGAATCTAAAAATAAAACAGAACGAAAATAAATATCCATAAATATCAACAAGTACACAAAATACAAACAACAAAACACAAACAAACATTCAACCAACCAATCAAACACACAAACCAGCTAACAAAACCATAACAAAACAAACAAAAACAAAAACTCACATGAAGTTCAACTATGAATGCAGACTGGGTTTCCTGGGGTCGCATTCGAGTCACCACCTCAGTCAGTTCGTGGTTGTTGTCGATACCTGTTGTGATGCGCAGAGGCGTGTCTGGAATCAGGGAGAGAAATTATTATTGTTGATACTTTTACTACTATTACTGCTGTGTGAGAGAAAGAAAAAGAAAGAGAGAGAGAGAGTGAGTGAGAGTCTGGAAGCAGGGAGAGAATTCATTATTGTTGATACTTCTACTTCTATTACTGCTGCATGAAATAGATAGATCGAGAGAGAGAGGAGAGAGAGAGAGAGAGAGAGAGAGAGAGAGAGAGAGAGAGAGAGAGAGAGAGAGAGAGAGAGAGAGAGAGAGAGAGAGAGAGAGAGAGAGAGAGAGAGAGAGAGCGGTAGGAAGGGAGAAAGAGAGACAATAATTAATATCGCAATTATTACAATCACTGCAACCTATTACCACCGTGCAATTATTACTGTGATTACCACCATCATCAGTACAGAACATTCAAAGGAGATTCAGCATACAATTATTTAAAACCAAGACGATTTACCTTCAGTGATGATAAAATGCATATTAACGCATTGTCTCGCCTGCCTGAACACATTCGGACGAGACGAAACTTCGACCCAGCGACCTGCGAACTATCATTGCGGTTTTGTGATAAGAATACAACTGTTTAACAAGGAAACTTATTTTATACCGATTTTTTTTAGGTCTATGTATTCAGCGAATCTTTAAAAAAGATGAAAGACTAATTGCAAATAATCAAAATATTCCAGAATTTAAAGAAAGATCACACACACAAGTTGGGATGTTTACATTTACATATGGGTTATCACCGTAGGATGAAAGACTAATTGCAAATAATCAACAGATTCCAGAATGTAAAAGAAGAAAGATCACACATACACACAAGCTAGGATGTTTACATTTACATATGGTCTATCACCGTAGGAATTAAGCCACTATGAACGAGGTGAGACGTGAAAAAACATGATTTAGTCCTATATAGCTGTACCATCGATATCACCTTTGTTCGTATGTGTTCTAAGTTTCACCCACTGGCCTTACTCTCTTTATGGCAGAGGAAAAGCTGTCTTCCAGTGAGTTTGGCTGTTTAAGAGTTTAATTATGGGGAGGATCTTTGCGTGTCGTGTTAGCAATGGATGTAATTTAACAGGCGATTTCATACTTCAATATCGCTGTCCATTTTAGCCTTTCTCTTGATTTATGGAATTAATATACAGTGCCCTAGATCATCGTTAGTTAATTATCTGCTAACAGTTTTGTCTTTGATGAAAGCGAAGGAACAATGCAGCCTACCTGTGCGTGTGTGTTTGTGTCGCACATACACATACACAGACGCACTATATATACACACACGGGGAGGTAATTTCAGGAAGGTAGGATGGGTGGGGGAAGCGTGGGTGGATTTGCCTCCCCAAGGCTGGCTTCTCTCCTGCTCCTAACTTAAATGTTTACTATCGTGTTTCATCGATGGATTGTATAGGTTGATGGTGAACTGTTTATGGAATATTAAGTTAACAGTTGGTACATCTCAAGGGAGTACGTGTGGGCGAGGCAAACTGTGCATATGAGTATATGTATCTATTACACACACACACACACACACACACACACACACACACACACACACACACACACACACACACACACACACACACACACACACACACACACATATACATAATATATATGTGTGTGTATTATATATATATATATATATATATATATATATATATATATATATATATATATATATTATATAGAGGTTGGGTCCCGTCCTCCTCCATTTCAGAGTACTGGCCGGTCGCCTCCCTGCCCCATTTTCATAAGCCTATCTGTATATACATATGATTGTATGTATACAAATATATACATATATACATGTATATGAATATATATATATATATATATATATATGTGTGTGTGTGTGTGTGTGT